AGCCAGTCATAGTGACAAGCATGCCAAGAAACGGAAAGAAAACTTCATAACAAAGGTTTGCTGCTTGTCATCGTTACTTCTTTTTCCTTTGCTTTAGTACGAGATTATTTTTAGGTGCCTATGGTAACGTTAGGCGGACATAAAGATGTTGTGGTTGGTTTGAAATGGTGTACCTGGAACGCTAATCAAGTCGTATCCGCTTCTTGGGATCATAGCATTGGTCTGTGGGATCTGCAGCTGGGTAAGTGTAACTTTTTACATTATTCATGTTCAGTTTGTTTATGGTTAGGTGTTTTCATAGTATCCATTAGCATTTCGGGTCTATCAAATTGGTTTTCGTCTTGTACTTGAGTGGGCTGAATGACTTTCAGTTTTTTGTACAACCTAAATGATTTATCAAGGGTTCTGACTGAGTGCTGATCTTGATAAAAAATGCTTTTTTTTTCAAGCTGGAGAAGTCTCACGGATACGTGGCACCAAAGCTTTCACAAGTATAGATGTCAATAAGAAATCTGGGCTTGTCATCAGCAGTAATACGGACGCTGTACCGAGGCTTTATGATCTTAGGAGTCATGGTAAGTCTTGGTGGACGTCTCTACGTCTAACAGTACAGTGTGTTTAGATGGATCGGTAGTGAAACAGTCATTTATCGGGCACACGGGTTGGGTGACATGTGTGAAGTGGAATCCGAATGACGAATCATGCTTTGTCAGCTCATCATTTGATAAATCGCTGAAGTTGTGGGATATTAGGTAAGTTCCATTCAGTCAGTTTTTCTTGGGTATTTCTTGATCGATCAACCGCTTTAATTGCTTTATTCGAACAGGTTTTGAGCTTGTGCCATTTGTGCTTGTGTGCCCGTAAACGCAGCTGGAAAACCTTTCTTTATTTAGATCTTCAAAAACTTCATTGTTCGATCTCTATGGCCATGAAGACAGAGTTTTATGTTGTACATGGAAAGATTCCTTAATTGCAAGTGGATCAGCTGACAACACTATAAAAGTGTTCAAATCTTCGTAGTTGTTATTGACTCATTGTTAGATCACTTATAATGTCTTATTTTGCGATTTACATTGAGCTTTTACGCCATCTTGTACTGCATTGTTGTTGTTGATTGTTGATAGATGTTATAAGATGTTATTGCGCATTTTTGTTGAAATAAATCTTATTTTTCATTGTTTTGGTGAAGATACGGTCTATAAGCCATTCTACTTTCTAATTTTTTTATGTACTAGGACTGTCTTAGACTGTCTTTACAGTAGCCAAGCCAAACACAGCCAACACTGTCAAGATGGGGAAGGGTTTTCAAAATTTCATGTCCAAAAAGGACTTCCATCCTAGCGCATGGTGGAACTTGAAAAGAGTAAGTTTCTTGAAATTTTGTGCAGTTTCGATTTTGTGCCCAATCATGTGACTGCTGCAGAGTTGTGCTTTTAGGTGTGGGAAGTGCGCCAAAAGAAAGCCATCGATGACAAAAGGCAAGAAGATCTCCGTGTTCAGTATGAGAAGGAGCAGGAAATGCTGAATAACAAGTGGGTTCAGTTATTGGTTGTTGTGCTTTAGATCATTCGTTTCTTTCGATCCCATCTGAGCATCAAGACTTACCTCAATGATTTTTTAATATTTTATTTTATTTTATCTCGATATCATTTTTATAGAGCGTTACTTGGAGATGAAAAGGCAAAAATGGGTCTCTCGTTCATGTATGATGCACCGGCAGGAATGGCTAGAAGGGAAGAGCCGAAGGTAACTTTTGTTGAGGAGTTTCTAACTTTGAGACTGACTATTGGCTTTAGGAAGAACCGAAGTTTGAATGGCAGCGAAAGTATCATGCTCCTCGTGAAGAATGGGCGAAAGATAACGATCAGATCCAAGATCAACCCTTTGGTATCCAGGTAAGCTTTCACTTTGATTCACAATATATTCGAAAGTCGCTAACGTTTCTGATGCTTAGGTTCGCAATGTGCGATGCTGCAAATGTCACAAGTGGGGTCACTTGAATACCGACAATGAATGCCCTTTGTATGGAATGAGTGGCAATTTTGAAGATGCTGGATGTAAGTGATTACACTTGGTACTTCGATATTATCACGATCTACATTGATTTGATTTTATGCTATTTGTAGATCCAACTGTGATATTCTCTTTTTAGATGCCAACAATCCATCTGATCTGATAAAAGAATTACGTAAAGAACGACAGGATGTGGGGCCATCTCGCATGAAAGAAGATCGGCGGGAGAAAGGCGAGTTCATGGATCGCACCCAGCTGGCAGAAGAAATGAAAGAAACACATGGATTGCGTCTGAAAGGGAACGTTCTGAATGGTATGTTCCTTGCCTTTCCACTGCAGTTGATTGTGGTATTAAGGTTTCTTGCTAAGAGCTTGTTTACACCCCGTAGAATGCGCGAATCTGTTCTGCAATTTTCACGAATACTTGATTTGGAAGTTGTCTTTTAGGCATCCGAGAAGATCAAGATGTGAGCACCTTGAGAGGTGAACCAACTGAAGCTGAGCAGATGAAGATGTTCCTTGAAGGTTTGAGTGACAAAGAGAAGAAAAAGCTCATGAAGTAGGTTTTTTAATTTTGATCTCACGTCAGCAATGCCCAAATTAGCTATTATAGGAAGCTCATGGGAGTTACTGGAGGAGACAAAGACAAAAAGAAGAAGAAGAAGCGGAAAGAAAAGAAAGAAAAGAAACACAGCAAGAAGAAGCACGTAGAAATCAAGAAAGAAATCAAAGAAGAGCCGGAGTCGTCGGAGTCGGATAGCTCAGGCAAGTTTATTTATTTTATTTTTGCTTTGCCGATGTGATTGTTCTTTACAGATGATGAGGAAGATGTGAAGAAGAAACATCGCCGTGA